CCTGGATAAAACGCTCAGGCTCAGTCATCTTTGCTGGGTTTGAAGCTTCAGGAAGGTTCCTGTGATTCTCACAGACTCACCACCATGCCCCGGACCCTGAGGGCTTGGGAAGGGTTCATCTTGCACAGGTGCCGCAGAGCCTCCGTCCTGCGCCGGCCGCCCACGCTCTCCTCGTCCTGCCGCTCGCCGTTCTTGATCAAACCCCTGCACACTGGAGAGCCAAGAGCAGCTCTGAGGAAATCTGCCCTTCCCAATTCAAACTATCTCAGTGGCATCTCAATCCCTGTTAGCAGGGACAGAGGAGGCTCTCAGTCCCATTCCCTGCACAATCAGTCTTTGTGAAGGTGACCTACAGGTGAAAAGCTGTGACACACACAGCGAGCCTGGCCTGCAAAAAATGGGAATCAACATGCCCAGGTGGCAGCACCCAGCAGTTCAAACCTGCACAACTAACCACACTGGTAGAAATCATTCCAAAAGCTGCAGTGGAAGCTGTAACTCACCCTCGTTGAAGCTGTCAGGGACGTTGGCCACCAGCAGGCAAAGGAACCAGGCTCCGTTCTTAACGTGCAGCAGAGCTTCGGCCACATCCACTATTGGCAACAGTGATGGCAGCTCTGCATGGAAAGAGGGTGCTAAAAGTCACAATGGGAAACAAAAACCCTGTTTCCAAGAGCTTAGGTTAACCTTACATCTGCCACAACAGCTCCCAAATTGCTTTGTTACATTTGTGAGAGGTCAGAAAACACCATAAGTGCAGAAACACACCTGCTTGCAAAATGCAGAGAACATCTGCTGCCTCCTCCAGGTAAACAGGACTCTCAAAGAGCTCAGAAGATTTGAGGAAAAACTCACCATTTGATTCTGACACCTGCAAGACAACATTTATCATCAGTGAACAGGTTTTACGGAGCAATTTGTCCAAATCTGCTTTAAATTCAGCATGTTTAGTAGGTTAAAAACTGCCAAAAACATAAACCTATCAACACGGAAGTAGCAGGAAAAGTTTGTAGAAGAAATATTTACTACTGGAAATACTTCAACACAGATGGTATCATTGCTTCTTTTCAGAAGAAAGAAAAATAGCCCACTGACATTCTAAGTTAACACAAGGAAAACAAAACATTTGGTGAGGAAGGAAGTGGGGGAAGAGAAATATATATATATATAATATATAATACCACACTGCAGTAGGAGCAAAGAACGAGATGGAGATGGGATCACTTCATTTCCAAATTATTTCTGCACTGACAGATCACCAAATCACATTATGTGTGAGTACAGCATATTGTAGAGTCTCTGTAACATCGGGAAAGACTTCCTTTAGGAAGTCACAAAGAGTTTCAGCACAAGCCACTGTTCAATCAGACTGACAGGTAAGGACTGGAGAAGAGTGCTCACACCGGCAGCAGCACCAGAAACACAACCTAAAAGTCACAAATATCCACCCACGGGGAAGTTCACCTTGTTCATGATGGCCAGCAGCTCGCTCAGCACCAGCCGGAGCCGCCGAGGAGAGTCACTGTGCTCAAATTCCAGCGTCAGCCCGTGCTGCAGCTGGGACACCAGGATGCTTTCTCCACTGCCACCTCCCAGCTTGTGCCTGGCACACAATTCAAAACAAGAATTAAACGCTTCTGCAAAGACAGAAATGCTTCCTGTTCAAGGAGGCAGCAGCTCCCTAGGGATCTCTTCTATCCTTTAAAGACTGTTGTAATTGCAGTACGAGAAAGCTAATTCAGTGCATTATCAAAATTTCAAACGCTTCTATTCCCCAGCAGCACAAAGAGTCAGGAAAGCGCATCCCCCTGAGCTGTCCCTTTATCCCGAGCCATCCCAGCCCTTCCCTGCCGGGACAGCTCCCCCAGCGCACCCCACCCGCTCCGCTGAGCACGGCGGGGAGCAGACCCCAGGACACACAACGGAACCCCAGCGCTTTCCCAGGAGAGCACCGAGGGACACGAAGGGCCGGGCGCGCTCCAACAACGGAACAGCTGGAAAAGCCACACATCCCCGCTCTCTGCGCTACCGGAGCTGCTGCTCCTTGCTGGCGTCCTGCTCCAGCGCGTGGAAGTCCACGGACAGCAGCGCCACGATGGAGTTGACCGCCTCGACCCCCGAGAGCAGCCGCAGGATCAGCTTCTTGTCCTGCGCCCAGCTCTGGCTCTGGTCGGCGGGCGCGCACAGCGCCATGCGCACGAGGCAGGGCAGCAGCAGCCGCAGCTCGGGGTCGCTCAGCGCGGCCAGGCGCACCACGTCCACCTTCTGCATGGCCTCGAAGGCGTAGGGGCTGACGAACTGCAGCGCCGAGCACTCGGACATGGCGGCGGCAGCGGCTCCCTCACGGCCCCGCGCCCACCCGCCGCCGCCGCCACTACCGGGGGAAGCGGGAAGTGACGTCACGGCGGGAGGGCCGAGGGGCGGGAAAGGCTGAGGGGCACCGCCCCGCCCGCCCCCTCAATAAACCCACACCACAATCAAGGCTTCATGAATAATTTATTCCATTTGAATTTTTTTTTTTTTAAAAAGTATAAACCTTTTTTTTTTTTTTCTTCATTTCCTCGATCACAATTTGTACAACTCAGTGTTTATGGCATTCGGCAGAAATAGTGTTTTGTTCCTTGAATCGCTTTTTGTGTCTTGTCGCGATGAACGCGGCGGCTCGGCCGAGGGCACATGGCGGCGGCTGTGCGAGGCTCCCCGGCACACCCAGCCGTGCCTGAGGGCTGAGGGAGCAGCTCCCTGTCCGAGGCTCCCCGGTACACCCAGCCGTGCCTGAGGGCTGAGGGAGCAGCTCCCTGTCCGGCCGTGCTGGAGCAGCGTTGGCGCAGCTCCTGGGCCTGTCCAGCGCAGCCTTGCAGCAGCTCCAGAGCCTGTCCGGCGTGGCATTGGTGCAGCTCCAGGGCTGTCCAGCGTGGTCTCGCAGCAGCTCCCGGGCCTGGCGTTGCAGCGGCTCCCGGGCCTGTCCAGCGCGGCCTCGCAGCGGCTCCTCAGCGCGTTGGGATGCCCCATGTGTCCAGCCATGGCAGCGGGGTGTGGGAGCAGCTCCCCGGTGTGTCCAGCCCTGCCCTCATGGCCGGGAGCGGCTCCCCGTGCCCTCAGGGCGCCATGTCCAGTCACGAGGCTGTGGCGGCCCAAGGCAGCGCTCGGCAAGGTCCTCACGTCCAGTTGACTCGGAAATAAAACCTAAAGCTCGATGAGTAGCATCCTGAAAAAGTGACCCTGAGGATTGTGGTAGGTCCCAAATCCAGTTTTACTGTAAATTAAGCTTTACTCCACTGAAAATAAAAAGTACACCCACAAATAATAGTAAAAAAACCCTTTAAGTACGAAGCATAGTCCTGGGCCCTTTAGTTAAAAAAAAAAAACAAAAAAAAAAACCAAACCAAAAAGACAAAAATAAAACAAACAAAATCACCTTCCCAGCTGGAGGTTGCAAGACAGTAACATTGTACAATGTCACCCCATTAATGAATTCTCCAATGAAACCAGATGAAAACAAGGTTGATGCAGCATTACTATCCCAACAGACTGATATGTGGTGCTGTACTGTTGTGCAGCAAATTATATGGTGCAATAGCATTTCTTTAAAATGTTTTACTCTTATTCTTGAAAGCTTTAAAATAATGCAACATAATATTTTGATATTACAGTATTAACAAATAGTGCTTGATTAAAGACATCGGCAAGTCTTCATAGCAACACACAAAGTTAAAATTACCATCAGAGGTAAATATAGAAATACAATAATCTGCGCCATAACTGACAGCTAGGTAAGAACATAGCTGAGGATTTAAATATAAATCCATTTATCTTTAATTATTTCAGAGAATGTTAGAAAGATCTAAATGTTACAGCTCCTTTTAAAATGTGAGGGTTGTTACAAGTACAGCTGGTGGCCTTGCTGGTCTTAGCAACATGGTTTTCAGAAACCTAATTCAAATAGTAGTGAGTCAAATGTGACTAAAAGGCTTAAATGCAGTAATATCTGGGTTAAAAGATGTATTTTTAATTGGAATGGAAGGATCTCAGCTTCTTCTTTCCTTAGAAGAGATAAACCTCCACAGCTACTTAAAGCACTGACAGGAACAACATTTTCTTGCAAGGCCATTTTGAAAATCTGTAGCTGAAATTTTCAACTACTTAAGCTTGTACTTGCTAAACAACCTCGACTTATTGGATTCTGACAATTTTATTTATAAACCAGCTATTATGTGCACTTAAAATAGTTAAATGAAAGTAGCTAACAAAAAATCTCTGCCCAATATAGTAGCTGGCTCCGTGGTGCTGGCAGGTTGGATATGTACATTGCCGGCTGTGACTATCACTCCAGAAATGGCCCTTCTAGTCTTTTATAGTGGTTATAATATTATAATTTACTTTAATTGCATTTGATGGGGGGGAGGAGTGGGAGACTGGCAGCTTTCACAGTAGGAGTTTCACAGGGAAGGCTGGTCCAGGTAACAGAATACAGTTACACCAACGTTCAGGCAGCTGATTCACTTACCTTTAGGAACACAAGTCAGATTGAACACAAAACAAAGCCACACCAAAACCCAGCCCTTGGAACTTGGTTAACTGAGCCAGGGTTAGAAATGACCACTTAGCGACAAAGCTCAAAAAAAAAAAAGGACATACACTTTGAAAATTCCAGTTTTAGGAGCACTTTTCCACATCAAAAATGCCAACCAAATGAGAAAAACCTTCTGTAAGACAATAATGTGCCGTTTAATCTGCGGTGCGTTACCGAGATAAAGTCATGGACAGACCCAGTTTTTAACTCTGTTTATCAAAATATGCTAACTTCTGATTGCACTCATGTTGTTCTGAAGAAATGACTGAAAATTCTCATCACCAATTGTACAACTTCTTTATACAAAACCAAAAAAGTTGCTAATATTGTATGTACACGATTCAGTGAGACTGTTCATACGAAAAGAAAAATCACCTCAGGCAGGTCTTTTGCATTTACGAAATGAGATTTTCATGAACACAGTAAGTTTGGTAAATGCAAGCAAATTCTTCCTTGTAGAGGGGTTAACAGCAGGTGCACAAATGGCTCTTAAAACTTGCTCCTTTACAGGTTTAAACCAGCGAGACAGACAGTATTAAGACCCAGGACTTGGGTTATTGTGACAGGCTCCTGGGAGCGCTGCAGGAGTTCAGTTTTTCATCTGGCAGTCAGATAAGGAACCCAGAAAAAGCATCTGCAGCTGCTCTTCAGCACCCGTAGGGGCTATTTTAGAGCAGCCACAGACATTTGGCATGTGCTAGGAAAAAAGGAAGGAAACTACTGAGAAAAAATGGTGACTGTAGATAGAGGGAGATGTTTAGGAAAGCCTTGTGGTTTGTCAGTCCCTTCCTTGGGGAGGGCAAAGCCTCCTTGGCACATGCCCCAGCCAGAGCCTGAAAATGGGATGTGGGGAAGGCCATACACTGATACTTGGGACCTTCACCACAGTGCCAAAAATACATGGAAAAGGAAAATGTTCAGGGTTTCGTGCTGTTTTTGTACTAGTGGAATAAAATCTGAATACCAGAATTCACTGAGAATCTATATACACCACATTTTAGTTAAACACACACCAATCTTAAAGTCAAGATTGACTATTTTTGCATTTGTAAAATGGCTAGAGCTGGGCTAAATTTCAGCCTGGCAGGAGACTTTGGATAAGGTCGGGGTTTTCTGTGTGTTCCACCTCAAATTCTCATTTTATCACAAAAGTGGAAGCAAACAATGCAGTGAGCACAGTGCCAAGAATATCCAGGGAGCAACAACGCACAAGAGATGTTCTTGTGATATTAAAACTTGTGTCCTGGAAGTGGATCTGAGAATCTAGCCACAGCCCTGAACCATAATACAAACTTCAATTGAAGAGTTTATTCATGTTATTCTCACTACAAGTTAAACCACCTACAATATCACTTATATATTGCCATTGTTACTCTGTAAAGGTGTGATATAAAATGCTGTAAGACCCGGTACCTTTTCAATTTATATAAACACAGTGAACTTCATTACTGTACATGTACTCTGCAACTACAGCTTAGCTGTAAATCCCCCACACACAATGGTATGGACATTAACCCCTCTATCCCCATTAAACTGTACATCAAGACAATACAAATTTACTGTCCCCACCCACCCCTTACAAAAAAATAATACTCTAAAAGCAACCTACTGCAACTTTTAATTAAGACGATTACATATATTTTAGACCAATTGCTTTAAAGCAAGAAGGCAGTATAAACCTTCTAGGAAAATTTTTATAAAAGAGGTTAAGAAATATAAGACAATTTATACATTTAAAAACTTACAATAAATAAGAGATGCAGGCATTTTTGAATACTAAGTACTATAATCCAATACAAGAACATCTTGATGTTCTGAAGCCATAGGTTGAAACTTAATTGTTCCTCGTGTTTCTTCTCATCTCCATGCTTTTAAAATTAACCATGACTGGGTACTATGGCTCATTACTCTTCACAAATACTGTGGCTGGGGAAAAATGGTTAATTTTGCTACTAAAAACGTTATAATACACTTTCTGATCATCATTCTGAAGTCCCCCATAGTCAGTGACTCAAAGACAGCAGGGCGATGGGTGCCCCTCTCACAAGTCAGAACAATATTTGCTGGAAGTAACAAGATTCATACCCCATCACAAACAACTTGCACTGAGAAGAATTATAACTTAGTCCTGCAGTGAAATATCCCTTTTCCTCATTTTTGTCTTGCAAAATTCAGATGAAGATCACAGCATATTCATGATAAAGTTATACAACTGATTCAGCACCACAAAATGAATTGGGAGACATGACCGTCTGTCCTGGGTTGCAGGATCACAGGTTAGCCAGGAGAGTGCATTGTACTGTTCCAGAACAAACCTGAAAAACAAACAGCCTTCTGTCAGGCCAGCACATTTTCTCACCAGGATTTTACAGCCCTAATTTACTACAATCCAGCTTCTTTGGCATCAAAAACATAAAAGAGGTTTGCCAACATTCAGAAATAACATGCCTTCCAAATTATTACAGCAGTTCAGAGCTAAACTTGCTTTTTAGCTGTCATTGTAATTGCCTATTCTTAATTTATACCAAGAGGTTCACATTAAAAAAAAAAAGAAAAAATAATCTGATGTTTTCTCAATTAGCATCCCATGTTTACATAGGTCTGGGCTCCTGTCCTTCAGACATTTTCCACAAGATTGCTGTGCAATATTCTGGCTTAACTATTTCTGCCTTTCCTGCTAGACTCAAACTCTCTCCTAGTTTGTGGAATTTGTTGTTTTTCAAACAGTTTCAAAGGCTGGTTAGTTAAAGAAGGGCTTAGAGATGTTTGGGTTTTATTTCACTGTTCTGTGACCATCACTGAAAGCACAGCAATTTATCTGCACTAAGGATATCAGCTGCACAAAGACAAAAACTAACAGCAGGAAAAGCAAGCATGCAGCTTCACTGCAGCAGCACTAAAAATTAAATGCACAATATTTTTGCAAGTGATCAATGATAAATACCTGAGCACATCAGAAGTTTGATTAGAATCAAGTGGATGGGAGTGTTTACTGTGGAGTAGCTCGTCTGATTGCACTGAAGGCACGTGGAGGTGCAAAGAGGCCTGAGGAAGGAAGAAGGAAGCCAGAAGTTACTGCCTGATCAACTACACCATATTTTCTTCCCCCATATTGTTGTAGCTTGCAGGCACCCTCTCTGTCTGACACACAAGCCAAAACAAATCTTGTCCTTAGGCCATCAAGTTCAGGAACTCTCAGAATATTTATATTCTGTCACAGATCTCTGCTAAAAGCACAGTGCTGGTAGTGAAATACATATATGGAGGGGTTTTCTAATCCCTTTTCTACATTGAGTGATTATTAAAAAATCAACTCAAGTGGCCCAAGATGTCCAATAACACACAGACTTGGAAATTCAATTGCTTTCTATAGGCCTGGTCTATTTATATTTCATATCTAGAGCTGCTTAGTGTATATAATAAATCCTCTCTTCAAAATAATATCCTAGACCAAAGCCACAGCTGAGCTTAGGCCAAGAAGAACTGCTAATCCAGACACAAACAAGTCTGCAGAAGATATATCTGGATCATTAGAAAACAAAGCACAGTATTAGAGATGCTGATTTGTTCATACAGAAAGTTTCTCTGTGTACCAATGTAAGGCCTTAAATGTGCCAAGTGTGTCTTGATTGTGCCATAAGGAGATAAGGGGCTCAGACAACACCCAGACAGATGACACAATGCAAAGCCAACAAGGAAAAAAACAGCTTTTATGCTTTGTGCAATCCAGAAAGATTCATTTATTCCTTATTTTGAGTTATTATACTGTACTTTTGTACCCCACTCTCTACCACCAGTCCCCACAGGAGTCCAGCCTTAGCCAAAGCTCTGTCCAGGAGCTCAACCTGCTCTTACAAAATCCTGGAGCATAAAGCCAGGAAAAAAAAGACTCCAGACTACCAGGAAGAAACCATGAGCAAAGCAGAACCTTTGAGCCAAATCTCAAAACTGAATACACCTGGCCTCTCCTGAAGCAAAAGCAGAGCTTATCCCCAGAGACATGCACTGACTTTGGGTTAACCAGAGCAGTTTTCACCCCCAGATCCCTCAGGCTGCACAGCTCTCTGCCAGGACAGTACCTTAAGAAACAAGGGACACTGATTTTGTGCTTGAGGACACGCTGACCAAAACCAGTCAGGCAAAGGACCTGCTTTGGCAGTTGACACAAAATAACCGAGGGCCAGTGGCTGCTGCAGTATATTTGTTACTTCATCGTGAGATTCTGTGGAAAGCAATCGATCTGTGCCTTGACCCTGGAACACAACAGGCAATGGGCTCAGATTAGGAGAGCACAAATTTAATAGGAATTATCTGTAGCTTCTGAAACACAAAGCATTTAGAAATATCCAAGCATGACATGACAATCCAGGTGATCTAAAACCTTTCATTCCACAAAAGGAAATTAACAGAGAGAGAAAAAACAGACAAAACACACACACGAAACTGTATTTACTCCAGTAGTTACCTTGCCCATATCACCTCCATGGGGGTAGTGGGACCCTGGAGAATGCACAGGGGATCCACCAGGAGATGCAGGAAGAATATTTATAATATCAGGATCAAGATCATCTCCAGTGTCTAACAAGTCAAAGATTCCCATTCCATCGGCTCCATCTTGAAAAAAAAAAAAACCAAGACCAGTGAATTCCTATTCACATATTCCTAAATGTCACTATGTGCAGGATATGACAATACATTCAGAAATAAAGTGATTTTCCACAGAAATGGAAATGGTTCCTTAGAATGAACCTTTATTGTTATGATAGGGCACAGAGTGATGAGGGGTTTTAAAAGGCGAGAACAAATCCAAGTACAAACCATTGTTTGTGTTGAAGGCCAGATCCAGGTTCTCAGTGGTGTACGTGGACGATGCCACCTGCACGGAGGCAGAGGTGGGGAACACCAGGATGTGAGTGCAGGACGTGTCCTGGGGCGTGTTCAGCTGAGATGTCTGCATGTTCAGCGTGGTGCTGCGCCCGAACACGGAGCCCGTGGACACGGAATCTGTGCGACAGAAATCAAGCATTTCCTCAGTTTAACAATGCCTGAACTGTTAGTTCTTGTGCCAAAAAAAAAGAGAGTTTCCCAAATACCTGGCATAATAATGAAGGATCCCTGGGGTTCCATGGCCACCAAGCAAGCACTGAGAATGCTGGGGGAGTCTGCAGCAGAGATCCCACACATCCTGCACATGTCCTTCAGCCTCTTGCTCAGGGACTGCAGGTTCCGGCGGCTCAGCAAACAGCTCCAGTCTGAGGGAGGAAATCTCAGCAGTGAGGTTCTCTTCCAGAAATAGGGATGGACACATTTGATACTACTGAAAAATTAAAGCTTTGAATCAAGCTTTAGACTCTAAAAAAATTGCTGCTGTTACCTTTTAATTCCCCGTGTCCTATTCTTCCCAAGCGGCCTATGACAACTCTCCATGGCAGAGAGCTCATCTGCACAAGTCCCAGGCACCATTCCCAGAGTTTCTGGAGACCAAGTCTGCGGGCAGAACCCTTTTTCCTGCGAGCTCTAGAAGAAAGAAAGACGGGAAAACAAAGTTAAAACCCATCTGCAACAAGTTTAGGCCACATTTAGAACTTTTTTGTATTAACCTGAACATTCACAGGAGCCAAGAGTGTTGGTATTGCAGTCCATCACCTGCAGCTTCAGGGGGATTGGGCTTTTTTAATTAATCACATTCTAAAACTGACATTAACAGGCAGCAAGTGAGATGGAGAAGTATGAACACACACACAGTAACACTCAAGAATCACATGAAACTAAACTATGCTCTTCTAGAAATTTAACTCAAAATGACATGTACCTAATAGGGAAAATATTCATCTGCTGTAGCCTTTGCAACACAGCAAGTCTACAAAAGTCAGTTATTCTTACAGCACCAAACCCAATGTAATTCTTCAAGGGAATGAAATAAAATAGACTTGCTAAAAATGAATTCAAGTTTGGTTCTTACCTGTTTGGTACATCAATATTAATTATGCAAGTTTCTAACTGCTCTCCATAGAGGTCTGTACAGGATGCAAGCAGCCACCTCTGATCATGAGACAAACAGTAGCCCACAAAAAGCACATTATACTTCTGGCCAGCTTCTCCAAAGGTTTCTCCCAGCTCTGTTTGCTTGTCCTTCACTGGAGCCAGTATAAAAGGAGGGGTGTAGAGTCGAATACACTCAGGTCTCTAGAAAGATGACAGAACAGACAATGAAGTTTGGGGAAGAAATTGCTCCCAACATAAAAGATGGTTGGTTGATAAGCAGGGGCCTTCCTCTGATCTGGATAATTCCACCATCTCATTAACAATACTCACATCAGGGCTCCTAAGAGCAGTTTCCATGGCTAACCCTGGGCCAAAGCCAGTTAAGGTTTTCACGTTGGTGGAAGTTGGGAGAGGTCTCCGACACTGAGTGAAAGCTGAAAATGCCAAAGATTTTAAATGCTGAGTGTAAATCTGGCGGTCCTCGTGTTTCACAGGCTGCAGCAGGTACTGACAGGGGACAATCTGCAACAGAGGAGAGGAGGAAAAAAATAATTATTGTTTTATCAACAGATTAAATGGCTTCTGACACAGTATTTGGTACATTGCTTTCTGAATTTTACTTTGCAGTCAAATTCCTTCCAATTCTTCCAAAGCCCTGTGGGACTTCAATAAATTATTCCCATTGAAATTTTCTTCAGAGGAAAGAACAATTTGTTTAGAAGAGAATCTTAATGATTCCTCGAAAAGGACCTATGTTAACTGGTCCTGCAGCTGGAAGGAGCTCTGCCTGCAGCCCAGCAGGGTCAGGCTGCACATTCCACTACAGGACCAGTACTTCACTCATCCCTGGAGTGGGCACTACATTTCCTCTGAGATAAAAGTGATGAGTTTGGAATGTACAACAGGATTCAGCTTTGGTTAACAGCACCCAAACTGCTCTAAAAGCTACAACCTGATGATTTAACAGCTGGAGAATTGTAAGTAATGTTTGTGAAGGAAATGAAACTTTCACCTTGAGGTGTTACTGCCCCCAAACACAGCCAAAGCCAGGATACTCTGTTTGTTTCTGTTGCCTCACCTGCACAGAAATGATGTTCTTGATGTGGGGAGGAAGAACCTGAACCATCTCCAGAAAGCAGCGCAGAAGTCCAAGTGTCCACAAACTGGATGAGCTACTGTTCTCATCCTTTTTTTCATATGTGAAAGGATCAATTATGTAAACTACAATTGCAGGTGGATAGGTGATAGCATGTGAATCTCCATCTGTGGGGACTCCGACTTTATCACGATCCATAGTGCTGGAAATGAAATTTTGAAACCAGTTACAAACAGCTGGGTTTTGTAAAGATTACGTTTTACTTCAAAACTAGATCAAATTGTCAATTATTAATCTGAAAGATCTTTGAGTCAAGTTGGTGTAAGAAACAGTCTTTTTATGTAATTTTTGTATAGGAGCTTATCAGTAACTCTGAATCCCTTTTCTTTCCTTTAGCCTTCTTTATTACAGCAGCTCAACAGCTCAACTATTGCTTAACTGGGGAACAAGAATATCTACAGTGAGAGCTGTCTTCACCACTCTAACTTTGATTACAGAAAATAGAACTCTAAGATGGTGCCAATTATCTATCTCCCCCTCCTTCCCCAGCCCTTTTAAAATATTGAAGTGAGTAGTTTGGTGAATTTCCTGTCTTTAGAGAGAGAAGAAAAAAAGGAAGTTTATTTTTGTACCAGAGCAGACACTGAGATGTAAGTAGAACTGCAGCTACAACTGGAACCAAAAGGTTCAGCTCCACCACAACTGAACTCTCAATCTCCCTTAAAAGCAGCTTGGTGAAAATAAATGCAGGGTTTTTACTGAAGGGGTAAAAGTGCATTCCTAAGTTCACGTTAGTTGAGCTGATTTTTCAGCTGAAGGTGTGACTGCAGTTCCCTACCTTTCAGAAACCTCTGGGTGGGGCTGTGCAGGTGCTGCAGCCGTGTCTCCAGACATCCCTGCTGTTTGCAGTGTTGGCTGTTGCTGCTGCCCCCCAGTTTGCCCGTTTGGGACTGGCGCAGCCTGGGCGGGCAGGGAGGCAGGAGTGGTATTGTTCATATTGCTGAAAGGTGGGAATGAGGAAGGCTTGCTCGTTGGAATGCCACTGCCCAGGCTGGCAGAGGAGGAGGAAGGGGCAGTGGTGGTCAGGGTGGAGTTGGCTGTAGTGGCTGCAGAGGACATGGCACTGCTGGAGGTCACGGTGATGGTGCTGCTGGTGGGAGCGGCGGGAGCCGACGACGGAGTGTTGGGATTGGCAGCAGGGGCTGTCACTGGGGGCAGAGCAGAGGCTGCCTGGCTGCAGGGAGGGACCAGGTTGGTTTGGGAAAGTAGAGAGTTGTCCAAAGGCTGAGAAGCAAGATAAGGACCTAAAAGCAGGGAAAAAAAAGCATAAATTTTATCATGCAGCTGTTTTGATGCCTATGTCACCTATGGAAGTCTACAGGTGTAACAAAACAGAGCAAACCTCGAGCATACATTTTACCTCTCAAATTAAAATACCTGTATTAAATATTCAAATTCTAATATTTTCATAAGAGCCTTTCAGAAATATCAAGAAATCTGTTTTTAATTTAACTTTTTCCCAGATGTGCTGAATTGCTGGAAATCACTGCTACAGAATCCGAGTCACCAGTACAAGAAGACACCAAAGTCCCTGTCAGGCAGCCACGCTGCCATTCCCTAAAGGCACTGCTGGATGGTTAGAGGCCATTTTAGCACATATTCAAATACAGGTTAAAACCAGAAAACTGCCCTAATCAATACAACAATGAGTCATGATTCCTTGTTCACTATTGCAAAGGAGTAAGTGGCAATTGTATGAAATAAGAACATTAGGAAAAGGCCATACCCAGCTCATATCTGCAAACTTGAGCGTAGAGTTTGAGTTTGGAGAATGCCTCGTTGTTGGCATTGGCTGTCTGTGAGAACCACTCTGTGACCAACTTCTCTGAGAGCTTCTTGGAGGCTGTAGGGCCAACCCTCATGATCCCATCAGGCAGTAACTTACAGATAGGTCTGTGCTGACCAAGCCTGCAGGACTGCAAAGAAGGTAAAAAAAAAAGCCTTAAAAGATGTTAAATATTACACAAAGGATATATCATAGAAAGGCAGAGAACTCTCAGTTTATTTACAATATTCCAAAGTAAATTTAACTCTAGAATTCCACCAGTAAGAAATGTTGAATAGTGATTTTATGGGTTACTGTCAGCATTTTCCTAAATGCAAAAAAAACAGGTTGATAATAATCGACTCTAATCTTCATTCAATCCAAGCATGTAATTAATTAATTAATGAAGGTAACACTATGAACGTGGCAGTGCTGAGCTTTGCCACCGGGTGGCGTTTACCGGCTGGGAACAGCGAACACGGCAAGGAATGAGGAGCAGCAGAACAGCCCTTATCTCCCAAGTGCCCATTCCTAAAATCCCTCGGAGCAGCTTTCCCAGATAGCATTCTGAGCAGGCGTCGCTATCAGCTCCGACAAGCCTGATAAGTCTTTATGAGCACGTATTAGAAACAGCATTTCCCAAATCCATTTCACTGCAAAGTGCCACAAATCCCGTACCTCGTATATTGCAGTCAGATCCCTAAAGAAGCTTTTGGCTCCGTTGAGCAGAGCCTCGTTCTCCGGGCACACCACCACGTAAGCCACGTCCCGCTGGGAGCCGTACGGCTCCAGCATCAGCCGCTCCCAGTAGGGCAATGCAAACGGGGACAGCACCAGGAAATCGTAATCGTATCCCAGCAAAAAGGTTGGGATTGGCAGTGGTTCTGGGGACTCGTCAGTTCCTGGAAAAGCAAGGCGTGTTTTTAAGCAGAAAGCTTCAAATGAACTTCAAGGAAACATGAATAGAACAGGCTCTGGTGTTCCCAGCATCTCACAGGAAGGAGCACTGCCTATCAATGGAATAGTTCTCATTTTACAGATCCAAGGTAAAGGATGCAACCCTCTGCAAAAACCCCATCAGCTGATAGTTCAAATAAAAACAATCTCAGCACCTGAGGAAGAAGTTCCACAGTGTTTTATATTTCTATCAGTACACAGGCAGTCAGGAACAGTTCTGCACTGTCCAGAAAGCCTTTTCCCACAGAGCCAAAGGAATCAGGGACCAAAGACAAGGGAAAAAATGTAAATATTCTAAGCAGATGGGTAAAGGGCCAGAGAAGGAAACAAACTTAAGAACATGTAAATGTATAATATCCATGTTCTAAATATAGCTACAAAAGATCTGCTGGTGAAAGGTCACTCTTGTAACACAGTGGTAAATCAATCTCATATGCTAATGAAGTCATTAAATCGTGAGTGCACAAAATTCACCTTCTATCTGTAAATGCATCACGTGTTGGCCACTCCAAACATTTATGAGAGACAAGACACTGAGTAACCCTAGATCTTGAGTACACTTCTGACAGTACTGAGCAATAAGGCATACTGTCTCAAGCATTTCAAAATCAGTATTTTTAACTTCCTATGTTTAGAGTAATTAAAATGGGGTGAATTAAAAAATTTTGAGTATAAAACCTGAGCAGTCACTCTGTTTTTAACACTAAACCCATCTTTGCAATTTCAGTCCCTCACTAGGTGAAGTGTCAGGTGTATACAAATAGTGCAACTGAAGCTGTAAATTTTAAATGCACATCTTTAATTCATTGCCTGTTTTAAGGAATATAAATACTTTCTCTTTTCTGAAGAAAAGAATTCTCCTCTGTCTAATAAGCTCTCGTTAGTTTAAAGAAAGGTCAAGTGCTGTTCAGAATTCCAACAGGCCGAGCAGCACCAGCCACCGAGTCTGCGTGGATGGAGCAGGGGAAGGAGACTGCAGGGAGCAGGAGTGGAGCAGGATTCCATGAGCCCTTACCGTAGGAGCCTCTCCCAGCCATCTTGTGGAACTGCTGCCACGTGAGGGGTCCCTGCACGCCCCAGGAGCGCACCGTTCGCTTCTTCTGGATGGCGTCCTGCAGCACGGGCTGCAGCGAGAGCAGCATGCGCAGGATGTCCTGGGAGCACTGCATGCTCACATCCACCACTGCGGGGACACAAAGGGGTCAGGGCACCATGCCACAGGCCAAAGCACCTCCACTGTCAACACTCTCTTCTAAAAACACCTGCAGGCCACCCACAGGCTGGGATACAGAACGTCGAGCTCAAGCGGATTTACAGTTCTCCCTCTTCCCCTGACTAAATACACAGATGGGTTTTTTCTTCATTTTGTTTTTTCCTCTAGAATTTTTCCCATTAAAAGGCTCCCATCTTACGAGTTAAACACCCTAAAATAAAAACAAAACAAACAAAAACCCAAAAAATCCCAAACAGAAGCCTGAAACTCTTGGATTATCCTTCCCAAAAAAAGCGGATTCGCAGGCTGCCACCCAGTGCTCATTTCAGAGAAGTCAAGGGAAGCCTCAAGCAGACTCAGCCCATTTCATCCAGAGCCACCACTGGGCCAATTCAGGTACTAAGCTTTAGAATGAAAAGCTGACACAAAATTTGGCATGGCTACTATTTCCAAGTCCTCTCTTCTAAAGTATCTTTACATCTTTTTATCTCAAACATCAGTCACAGTAACATGGAGTATTCTCCTGTGTGCCTGAAAACATAAATTTATTTACAAGTTAATCCCCCAGCGAGGCACGGGAACGTGGCTGTGTTCTCCCAGGATTCCTCCTCATCTTCACTTACAACTATGAACTGCAGCTACCTGTAATTCATAACTTTATCTTTCACCCTATCCCTGTTAAGAGTTGCCACTTGAAAATTCTATTAGAGAACGGTAAGCAAATACACACAATGAAGGGTATTCCAGGAGACACTGCATCATTAGTCAGACCCTTGAAGGAAAAATCCAAGGATTTCTGGCAGACCCAACACACAGTGAAGGCTACAATAATGCTTTTTTTGCCACATGTGCCATTAACCTACTGCCCCCCTCTCCTCCTGAAAGAAGGGGGGAAGGCAACTGCATCAGAGCTGTTGTTTAATTCTGCCACAGTGGCCTTGACAATACGGTCACCACTCAAACCCTTCCTACAGGCATCAATCATTCCAGAGCCTCTGTAGAGCCACTCACCAAAAGCTCTTTAAAGGATAAACCTGGTGAAGTGTTGTGGACTCTGACAGTGGTCTCATGCTACACTTCAGGTATATATTGAGAATTTACAACTGAGAGCAGCCAAGGCCTCACTCTGCTGGTGATCAGCACAGGACATGGAAGGGCTGGGTATTTTGAACATCATCAACCAGAAGTCTGTACGAGCACACAGGTGGCAAAAAACAGCATTCAAAATCCACAAAGGAAAACCACAAAAAAAGACCCTTAAAAACAAAAACCCAAACAGGAGGACAAATAGAAAATAAACTGTTTTCAATATTTACCATTTCTTTTTGACCAGTGGTGCAAGCAAGTAGTTTTCACAAGTGCTTCGTCAACTTTCCCTCCTGACATATTGTCCATGAACTGCCGTCCATGTTCCAAGGCTAAGTAGCAGTCATTGCAACAATCCCTTTCTTCTACACGTACCAGGTTGCTGACAGCACCAACTTTGGCCACGGAGTCTTGGTCTGCTGCTCCAAAGGGTGAGAACAGGTTGGTGCATTGATCCTGCAGCAACAGTATCAAGTCATCGGGCAGTTTCTCGGGTTCTTTCAGCCCTCCACTGCCGTGTTCAATGGAAGTAGCTCTGAGAGCTTCAAAGCGTTTTTCTGCTTCTTTGCCACACTCCGTGTTTCGCCCCAGAATATCCAACTCGTCTTCAAGAAACAGCCCGGAACTGTTGCCAAATTTTCTATTCATAACAGCACTGAAACCACAGGTACACCTATACTGGGCCTCTTGTGTTGGATCAGGAATGTAAACTCCAACATCAGCACCTTTGATGTTCATATTGCAAACACAAATGCAGCAGCTGTCGAAGTTGCAGTCTTTGAAGAGATTCATGACAGATTCAGAAAGGATGAGATTCACATACAGGCTGTGTGCCTCGGGGATGGAAGGCACCGTGGCAGGCTCCACCGAGTTGAGCGGGCGGCACGTGGAGGGGGTGGAAGCTGGCGAGTACAAATCCGAGTTCTCGTACTTGACCGAGCCCTGGGCGCTGGCGGGCCCGCCGGCCCCGCGGGGCGTGCGCGGAGTCCTTGGGGTCCTGGGCGTCGGGAAGCGAGGGGTGGAAGGAGAAGGGAGGATTCCAGCCCCGCTGTTGCTGGGAGGGGCACTGCTCGGGGGCATCCCAAACGGAGTGTGGGTCTGGGGGGTGTAGGCAGGGCCGTACTCCTGGTCCATGGTGCTCCCATCGCTGGCAGCCACAAGAGAAGGAAAGGCTTTAAGTACACAGCATACTGGGTTTGAAGTTTAAGACTCAGACTTCTAAAGAAGGACCTTCCTAATTAATATTTGCTTTTTTTAAGCTAGTCTTTCATAATCCACAGTAAGATTTTCATTCCCTAAGGAACTTCAAGAGCGTTTGTTCTAAATGACTTTGCAGGACTCCCACTGACAGCACCATTAAAGAATCTCTCCCTGCCTCCTTTCGTCTTTTCCTCTGCACAAAGCTCCCAGGAAACAAGTGTGGTCAGAATAAATTATAAATTCCGTGGTTGTATGGAGTCTAAAGGACACCTTTTTCATTCATGTTTTATTTACATGTTGTGTTGACACACACTGAGAAAATAGATCAGATCTATTGACAGCAGATTCAGCTGAATCCACAAGGAAAGTACCACCAAGAAAGGTTTAACGTTTTCTTTCCTGAGCACCTGAGTATCTCCAAAAACTTGTAAAGCTAATGAGACCTGGAAACGTATTGCTAACGAGTAACAGAAGCAACATCAGTATATGATCCAAGATTTAGTATTCATATAATCTTATCAAGAAACACATAACACCTCCTTGCTGCCTAATCCATTTTTACCAGCTACTAATACAGAAGAGAAAAAGAAAGAAATCTTTTTCTTGACAAGGGCTGGCAGCAAGACCATCCCTGCCAAATGCAGGGTACAGAAATGTCCCCTGCAGTTTGCTGTGACCAGGCCCCATCACACAGCACAGGAAATGTTTTCCTACTCCCAAGCACAGCTGAGTTTACTGCTACTTAAGGAAATAATTTAAGAAACAGCAGCACCACCTACTAAGCCCTTCCAGCACTGACTACACCACCGCAAAAACAAAGTCCCAAGTTTACATTTATCTTGATTGTTACCATCTTCATTACTTATTAAACCTGGCCTTGCACCATTAAGCTTCCCCAAGAAACCTTTAAAGGAGACAACAAATAAAATGTATGTACAGTTAAGAAGCTCTTTGAGAAGAGTCTCCTGCAGTAGGTTTAGCCAGAAGAACATTTTTAAAGGCTCTTGCCGGTTGTATAAACACAGAGTATATACAAATATTCCCATTACTGATTGACAAAATAAATATTCAGGGGTGGCAAAGTGAGCACATCACAAAGCTGAGCCCCCCAGGGTCATACCCATCTTTGATGAAAGGCATGGCAGGGCCTGGAGGAAGCAGATCCAGCTTGCCCACGGTCCAGCTCTGGCGGTAAATGCATTCCTCGGGCAGTTTGATGGGAGGAAGACACTGGCTGGGAAGAGTCTTCAGTGGTGCAAACATGGAACATCCCACTAAAGCTTGACAGTTCTCAGGTTTATAAACATAAGAATAATCCTGGAAGTCAGACATGGGAAAGCATTAGTGTGTAAATTAGATCACTGCAGCAATTAAATGCTTCTCCAAAAATCAGGACTGAGTTCAAGCAGCAGTTCCTTAAGCCAAAATCCTGACACAGCTGCAAGGGAAAGCTGAGATATGTACACACAATATTCACAATACACCAAAACAAACCTCAGTGAACTGCAGTGACTGAAAGGCATTTCTGCAGCTCACTAATGCCTACTCAGGTATTACTCTCTCTTAAGTTTAAGTGGTAAAACACTACATACTACAAAGTGTATTACCTCCTCCGAAACAATGCAGGGCAAGTTACAAATTGTACTTAATCCCCCCCATTCCTATTCAGATTTAAGTAATGAACTGATCAATAATCAGCATTGATCAGGGCTGTCAGCAGCACCTACCTTGATTTCAGCAGGTTTGGGGCTGCAGAAACCCTCATCTACTTCGATTCTGAACTGAGCTCCCACAGCAGAGCTATTCCCCTCCAGCACTGTTCCTCCAAGCGTAGTGTCCATGCTGCCATACTCCTTATTGTTCATGTTCATCGGAGAAAATCCCATAATGTGTTGTTCCAGTGAAGGGGGAGTTGGATACATTTTATGGAGATCTGCAGTGCCTAATTTCAGATCAGAAGCAGACTTTAGAGCATGAAAACTTTCTGAAGTGTTTCTCGAGTCTCAAAATTTTGCTTAGACAAATGAAGGGTACATTTCCAAATTGCCACAACATATTAAGAGTCAAATGTTTAGAGCTAGCATTCTCTTTAGGCAAAAAGAAAACACAAATAAATCTTACTTATGCATGACAGTGGGTCTAGATTTCCTGTTTTTGCCTCTTTGCAGTTGGATTTGTCATCAGTGCCGTTCACTGTTCGTTTAGATCCAGGCTAAGAAAGAAGTATTTCAGACATAAACACATGTTCATGTTTCCTGCTCACAGGAAATCTCACCTGCACATACAAAGCTGAGACATCGTAAAATATTTAGAAAAATTAAAAGAGCTCAGAAGCCTAAGGTTGGGCTTACACTTGTTCTTAATTCTTGGAACCCAGAGAACCTCTCCCAACAGGTCACAATGTTATTGAAGGAAAAAACCAGTTACAAAATAACCCTCATCCTGACAGTAAAAGAAGCTAAATTAGGGCTGCCCACAGTCTACCAGAACAAACCACAACACTCCCAGAGCCACATTAACACCACTGGAGTTACTACAGGAACAGAAAAGAAACACAAATCCTGCAACAAGAAATACAGGAAAGAAAAGCTGTCAAAAGTAAAAGAATAAGAGATATTTTACCATCTTTAAACAGTTCAGAACAGTCTACAGAATGTAAGTATTCATGTTTAAGAGCAAACACACTTCCTTTACACACTGATGACCTTTGATGGCTGTTAAGATCCTTCAGCCCTTACTCAGCTCCAGCTCCCATTAAAGTTGATGGGCATTTTGTCTGGGTAAGGGGATTTAGGATTAAACGTGGAGTAATGTACAGTTCAGAAAAGACAACTGATTACAAACAGTATTGAAATAGAAACTAGGAAGATAATGGGTTCAGAGCCATCAGACTGCAAGAGAAACTGTTCCAAGGTAATAGCTGCTGCAGAGAAGCAGCTTATTTGGCAGAATGTCCAGTGTTTAAATGCCTTTTCTCTCACAGAAGTTGCTGTTTTGTTTCAATATTACCTTGATGAAGCAGTTAACCAGAGCCCAGACCACAGGAAAAGAACACACTAGGACCTACTGAATCTCTACAACTCAAACTAAAGGTATGTTCAGGCAGCACACACTGTGGGGATTGCAAGGAAGTGAGATCAAAAGGTTGTTTGCATCACAAATCTGCCTGCCTGAGTAAAACAGAAGAGTCCGTTTGCCACTGAGGGGCCACAGCTCTTGTTTGTGTGAACGTTTTGCAACTCTCCTCCAAACGCCAGGAAAAAAATCAAACCCCAAACCACACAAAGACAAGAGCTGCTCCTTGCTGCTTTTTTGGCTGGCACCTGCCAGGACTTTTTGCACATCACTTACTGTGAGCTCATCCTCATCAGAGTTGAAGAGGTTGTCCAGGTCAGTGTAGGACACCACCAGGTCTGTCTCGTGGAACAGGCTGGTCGAGGCAGTGCGGGCGTGGGCGGCCAAGCGCTGGGCATCTGTGGGGAGACCAACAGCACAACACTGCCACTGCATCTGCATGGAAACTGCTCTACAGGGCTCGTCCCACCCCTGGGGGAAGGGAAACCAAGGGGGGCACATGGCCTTGGTTCATCTCGGCCATCTTACACACAGGGGAGGGCCCTTCCATTTCAGATTTTACAGCCAACATTTGTTTGCAAGGTGCAACAAAGAAATGTTCCAAGCAGACTGCAGGGAAATACAAACTATAAAACACAAAACTTAGCAGCCTGTTAGAATCTATTGACTATTCAAGACACCATTAATACACCACAATTAAGACAGAAAGGAAAAAAAGGCTCTTTACCTTGCTTGACAGAAGGACTAAACAGAGACATTGCATCCTCTCCTTCATGGGACAGAACTGTAACGCTGGATGTCCCATCCTCAGCCTACAAAAAAAGGAGAGAAAAGTTTGCTTAAATTAATGGTTGGGCTGGGAGGTGTTTGATGTCCCTGTGAGGATTCTGCCCCTGGAGAAGGATCAGGTTCTCATTACCCTGTGAGCTCAGCAGGGGCAGGCTGGGGGCTGCTGCTGCCTCAGGGGGAGCAGAGCCTGGGCTGCCAGCACAGGGTTTGTCTTGGGATACATTTACAGAGCAAGCTGTGGATTCTTGCTACAACACCTTAAGGAAAAACCCTTGCTATCAGATGCTACATATTAACTGTACCAGTTCCCGAATGGAATGCATCCACACTTAACTAATTCTAATAAGCAAATTGATTTTATAGACAAGCTCCCAGTGCAGTTATATTTTCTCCTTTTCTGTAGGTGCCCTTTTGCTTTAAGTACAAGTCTCATGTAGCTGCACTAAAGCACAAAAAAAGAATTGAAATTGCAATTCACTGGCCAGGGAACGAGTCAGGGCTCACCTCAGCTACCCCCAGACCTTTCCACTCATGAACAAAGCACTGGCCTTGCTCCTCCTCTCTCCCCAGGCACCTGCCAGCACCTATTTCCACAGGGAGGCCACTGAGCCAGACTGATCCAGCAGCTTTTTCCTCATAAGCCCTCATGCAATGGCACCATCAGTGTGCCAAAAAAAAAAATTAGGTGCCATTAGAGACATGCTGCTTAATTTCATTGATCATTTCTGCTAGAATAGAATTTGTTTTTTAATTTGCTCCTAAAGACATGAAGAAGGATTTAAATTCTATCCCATGCCTAAGGCAATTTGTTTTAATCTCATCACTGATTTGTAGCCTCACTCCTTTACTCACCTTGTGTTTTTTCCCCACTTCCCTCTCAATGTTCTGCCTGTCCTTTTTGCTGTCAGGAAATAGGAATTCCACATCTCCATCCACAAAGGCATAAGGATCAATTTCAGGTTCCTGGTCAGCTTCCGTTGCTACAGCTGTTAAATATTGGTTTTTACTCTGATATTGTTGCACCAGTTCATCTGAAACCTTCAAAGGTTTCCTACATTGCACCATTAATCTGAACAGAAGAAAAACAAAAATCAAAAAATCATTTATTTAGCATTTATTACATGGAATTATTTCTGCTATCACAGCCTTAACCAGAACAACCTCATCTTTCCACATCCTTCCTGCACAGCCCAGCTTCAGAAAACTTTTGGGGATGAAGATGAAATCATTACTCATTTAATATCACCTCCTTCCCCACATCAGCTCCAGCCCTGTGATTCATCCTGCCCCTCTCTCCTCAAGCACTGTCAATTCACATAAAGATTAGTAATTTATCCCAGGTCATGGCTGTCATTTGTTATAAGGCACAAATGGATTCAACTCTCCACATCCACTGAAAGAAACTCACCAGGCTAAAGAATTACTCACTGCATTCCCCAAAAAAGCCCAAGCAATAATCACAAGTAAAGCACACAAATGCCACTGTGCTCAGGAGCCATTTATATCACTCAGATCAATACAAATGAAGCTTGCAGCACACCAGTAACTAATTTACTAATGAGAAAATTCTAACCACAATTTGCCTTTATCAGCATTTTTCTTTTGTTAACATTCTGAGCCAAAACTGGAGCTGGTAAGTACACAGAAATTCAGGTTTTCTTTCAGGTGTATTGGTTGCACAAATGTGGCATTGCACCAGGAAAAAAAGACATTGGCAAGGAAAAAACTATTCTGATTATGAGCTGTAGATGTGCCCAGCTTTATATTCTGTACCCCAACATAGAGAAGGCACCAGGTGAGGAAGGTGCTCCCTCAAACAAGATGAGAAGCTCCTGCACGTTCCTCTCAACTACAGAAAGTTTGACTTTGTCAAAGACACTTCCTAGACACAAACTGTCCCAAAAAACACCTCACAGCCAACAATGGCAAATCCATCCATGCTGCTCGTCCATGCTCAATAAACCAGTTTTTAAATCCTGCAAAAACTGCCATCAGGAAAAAAAAAGGGCAGAAAAAGAGATGGAAACTGCTTTCTAGGAATGGGGAATTAAACACCTCTGCTGTATTTCTGACCAGCAGAGAGCAAGAGAAGTTAACAGCCACATATCCCAGGGGAAAAGACTGTTTTTGGTAAGTTGTCAAATCAAACTAGGAAAGCCCATGTCTTGAAGAGAAAAAGGGAAACATCTTTCTTTATCCACTTGGCTGAAGTGAATTCAAGGCAAAGAAAAAGAGCACTAAAAAATCCTATACATGCACATCTTGAAAGAGCCTCTTAAACAGTGACCACAAAGAATGTCCAGAACTGAGTGTGAGCACAGAGCAGCAGCTACACCACCTTTACTCCTCCTCCCAGCTTCCCACACAGCCATCCCAGGGCTGCCACCAGTGGCTTCCCACTGCCAGCAATGGGACAAAAACCAACTCCAGGCTTCTCTCTTGTGAGTAGCTGCTCTTCCACCCCAAATTCAGCACCCCAGCTCCTAAAATAAAACCCAAAGCTCTCAATAATCTGATACTGATCACAGTAAGAGTCTCCTTTCACCTGAATAAGAAAATTTAGATCAAAAATAATCGACAGAAGTGCCTGGACAGAGGCAGCTCTGGGTGCAGTCCTTAATCCCTGGATGCCAGCCCTGAGCCCAAGTTTGTCACCTGTGCATGCACACCCAGTCCTGCTGAGCTGTGCCTGCTGTTAACAGCCCTGTCAGCACTGCTGCTTCCCAGTGCTGTCCCTTTCCACAGCACGTCCTCACTGGCAAGTGCTGTGGAACAGGGATGACAGGAAGCATTCCCTGCTCACCAGCAGCACAGGGACACGGCCCACAGGGCCAGGGGCTCTGGTGCTGGGCTCTTGTTCTTATGGCTTGGGGATTTGGTGGTCATCTTCACTGGGGGGTTTGTATTCTCTCTGACTACTAAAGTGACTTCATCTTGGCTCATTCTGCTGTAAAAGAGCTCAAAGTTTTAACACTAGAACCGGCAGTTTGATTTCCTCCAGTGGTCCTAAGCTCCAGAATTTACTCCAACTTAAAACAGTATCCAAAGTGACCAATTCCTTTATCCCAATGGAAACAAGGAGCAGAGCAGAATGTTTTACAAGCTGGAGCTTGTAACATCAGCTCTTCTCTAAGGGAAGACAGGGGCAGAAATGAGAGAAGAAACTTTAACAGGATCTCTGCAGCTGAGACCATCCATATTTTCTTCAAATAATGAAGAAATCAAATACTGAGTGAAAAAGTTATTTCTTTTTTTGTGGGGAGTGGGGAGGAGGGGGGAAGGAAGAGACTTAAGTCCCTAATAGGCATCATTTGGCTGCAGATTAATTTTATAGTATAAAAATAAATATCATTGCTGTCAGCTAAATCAGAGCTAAAATGAGAAAAAGCTGGAAAGTCTTGTTACAGATCTGACTGTGCTTTGTCCTCCCATTTCACAAGGATTAACTTCTTGTACCCAGAGCTGTGCTCACACCCTCAGCATTACTGCTCCTTCTCCAGAGAAACTCCTGCCTTTGGCCTCGTGCTCCCTCTGCTCGTGTTGTTACCCCAGCACCAAGCAGCACTCACTCTGTAACCGATGTTACATTTTCCTGTCCAGCAGGTATTACTGGATCATCTCTCAACTTATCATTCGGAAGCTGGGGCGGTAAGAACTCCACATCCTTTTTCTTTGGAACTTTATAATACTTCCAAGTGGTGTCAGCTTCATCCTCCTCCAAGTGGACGGCGGTGCCGACGTACACGGTGGGCTCGATCACCTCGGGGAACGCGGCTGCGAAAGGCTGCGACAAACCGTCCAGCCTGTCTTCCATCGCTTTCGTGGGCACCAAGGGCTCTGGCGTTGGCATCTGGTAGAAGTGTTGGCTCTGGGGCGTGGAGGGGGCTTTGGGCACCCCCTCGTCGGCGCCGTCGCAGGGGTGGGGACTCAGCGGCGGCGGCTGCGGCGAGCTCGGCAGCTCGGCCCCGTGCAGCGGCGGGGCCTTCGCGCCGTCCGCCGTTCGGATGGTGGCAAACCTCACTTGGCTGTCTGGTGCAGCCATCACAAGCCTCTGACTCGCTGAATCTGCCTCCATGGCAACATCATCACTGATAGATACACGATGATGAAAAGGAGTCAAAGGGCGTTTCTGTGGCTTATCCCCTTTGTCTTGCTTCTCATTTGTCTTGTGCTTCGGAGCCGCCGGCTGCTGGGGGCCCACAGGTGGGGCCTGCCCCTGTTGACCTGAATTTCTTGGTTTGAGATTTTTGTGCCTGCAGAATTAATACAGGGGAAAAGACTCCGCATTAATCTTTCAAATATGTCTGTGGTGTTCTTTTTCACTAGATAAGAACCTGCTTCTAGGCCATTAAACAGCCCGTGAGGGACATCTGAAACTGTTCTGAAGTGAAGCTGCCCCTTCTCTCTGAGCAGAATTGGAGTGACTTGAGCAGCACTGTATGATTTTAGAATACCATTGTAAAAATTGTTACATCTGTCCTATGAGCCAAACGCACAAATAATCCTCAGAATTAAGACAGTATTTTATAACTGCTTTAGCAGAAATAGATTGTCACATGAATACCTCATCATTTTTAACTTGTGCCAGCACTGATGAATCAGTAGAACAACGTAAGAATTAGTGAATGGCTTCTGGAATTCAAACACTGATACCAGCCAAGAGAGCTGCCCAAGCCTCACTGGGTTAAGGACTGCAAAATTAACACCAAGAAGCCAAGCTCACTCCTACAAAAGCTATTTCCAAGCTATTACAAGGCTTTTGTAGCTGCTTACTTACAAATTTAGCAAGTGTGGGAAAAAGAAAAATGCAGTGTCTCAACTGCATTAATACAGCTGGTTCTGTTCAGTGTAAATGCACTTCAGCTTAAACATTTCATCTGCAAGTTCAAGATGCCAGCTTTCAGGATCATCTGACAGAATGAGGCCCATGAAATACTGAAGTGTAGAATGAAATGTTTATGATTAAGCCATTGAACTGCAGGTACATGCTCAGTACCTGGGAGTTCTTTGCCACTCTTCCATTAGCAAAGTTAAGAAGCACTTGTATTGAAAAAACAGGATTAGGCAGGGATAAAAGGTAAGAGGTATCAAAATCTATTTTTACTTTAAACTCTTACACACATCCACATGTTTTTCTCCACTTAGAATTCAAAACACGTGCAGTAATAAGGGGGTTTAGGTCTTTGCAATTTCTCTTTAGGCAATTGCATATTTCTAATACACACCTCACATAGTTAATTGATTGGTTTGCTCTTAACTAGTGCTATCATAGCTAAATTCTCCTTGAAAAGAACATTTAATACTCCTCCACACCCCAGCTCTTCTCAGGACACAAGTATTTCCACAGAACTTTAACCAACCATTTCAATAAGAGAGTTTAAAAAATGCATTTCTCTCAAAATGCTACATCCTCCAGACAGTAATTTTTTCTTAAGATACCAATATTCCCTGCAAGGTAATCAGTGTAACATTTAAATCAGAGAAAGTGTTTAAACCTATTGCAACACTTCAGTCACCTAAAGATTAATATTCTGCCATAAGTACAGAAATTGAGAATTCAATGAAATTAATGTTTCCCTTTATTTTAAATACCTGTATTAACAGTCTGTGGCATTGCAGCCTCAAAAAAGGCTGTATTATATACATATATAATACACATATTTAATGTAATATATTATATATAATATATATATTTAATCTTAGACATTTTCCCTTTGTTTTGATCCCTTTTTTCCCAGCTAATATACAAAACCCACACTGCCCTCCACTCCCAGAGGAGCAGTTTTCCACACAGCCACCCTGGGAATGCCACCCTTCCCAGAGAGCAGGCCTGGAGGTTTATTCCTATTCACCAAGCTCCTGATTAACAGCTTTCTCCCTTCAAGGCTAATACCACAGCCCTCTAGAAGTGGTGTTTGAACCCTAAACCAATAGCATTCCCTTCCCAACCCCTGAGAAAGCTGCCCAGAAGGTGGTGAGTGCCCACATCCAACTCCAGCCCAGGACTCGGGAGTTGTCCCTGCACTGGCAGCAGCTCCCCCCAGCCAATTCACTCCACTCCAACCTCTGCAGAAACTCCTTGGGCAGAATTTCAAGACCTCCAATGACATTTAGGAGAGGAGATAGAAATTTTCTTCCAGCTTTCCTCCAAGCAGCTACTGCTTAATTACTCCTGCAGGAGAGATCAGGAGCCTCTCCTGAGCACTCGAGCCCGGCGAACATCGCGGGCTGCGCCTCTGCCAAGTGCTGTACCTTGAACAATTGCAATTTGTCCTCTGCGTGGCTTCAACAAAATCCCAGGATGCCACCTTGTCAGCTGTCTCCTCCTCACACAAGCCATTTGATGTAGCAGAATACTTCCTCCTAGGATTCAATACCAGGAGAGTTATTTGGGAGCAACATATGTTCTTCTCTTATCTTCTGGCAAAGCTCAAGAGCAGTTTGGTGACAAGGGATTCAGCAAAGAAAGGATAAATAGCCTTTTCCTGACATATTAAACTGAGAATTAAGTAAATCATTCCTAAACAGTTAGGGAAAAAATGAACTTCTTTAGAAATGCTTTATTAGAAGAGTAAAGTACATTCCACCAGCAGTCACAGCGCCCTTAACAGAACTAATTGCTACAAGGAACACACAAAATATTGGAATTTTTGGCTTCAAAGGATAAGTACATACTTGTTCTGTGCTCTGTTCATGTTGCACTCTTGCCAGACTCTGTCCACCACTTGGTTGGCCAGTTTTCTGGGGATTTTGCCACCGTGATGGCTGGTACTGTCTGAGATAAACCCGTCCGAAACCGAGGAAAACTTCACCCATTTCTGGGCAGACTGAGCATCAACTGAAAAGCAGCACCACAGGAAACAGATTCAGGCAGTGAGACAATGCAGTGTCTATCACTCCAGTTCAAGCACCAGAGAAGTGACTTCTTGACTCAGTGTTAGGAAATAAAAACACAGAAAATTTAGGAATAGTAGCAGATTATTATAGGAGATTTGAAAAAGCACCATATATGTTTGTTGTAAGTGGGATGGATATTCTTTAACTTTGATGAAAGTGACCTGAAATAGAAAACAACTTGAGCAAAGTTATAATTTTAAAAAAGGGTCAAGCTTGGGTAACAAAAGATCATGGAAGGAAAAGAGAAACAAAACCTCTTCTGCACAATAAAACTTATGTAAATGTCACCTGAAACTATCAGTGAGTGTCACCTGCTGTGACCTAAATCAGCTCCCCATAAGCCCTGCTCACACCCAGGGCAGAGGGCACACAGCCTGACTGGAAACTTAACTACAGCCAGTCTTCCTGAACTGGGAGAAAACATCACCTTTCACTGCTGACTGAGGGCACAGCACGGGTTATGGAGCTGTGTCAGAACACAGGCACGCCCACAGAGGGGAAAAAACCCCAAAAACTTCCCCAGAGCAATCCAAAGTACTGGTGACAACCCCAAGTACAACAGCAGCTCTAGTTTCAGCCGCTCACAGAAGAGTTTGAGTTCACTTTGCCCCCAGCTGATGACATCAGTTTTACTACAACAAACTTAGGACTACAGAAATGTGATTTTTCCTCCCAAGCCAGCTGCACACAGAGCACCTGAACCCCTGCAAACACTGCTGTGTTACAAGAAGCCATGGAAACAATCCCCTCATGCAGCAGCCAATTCCTTCCCACCTGTCTGAACCTCCTCTGGGGACGTGGGTGGCGTCAGGGTGACCGAGGACATGGCAGGGTCTCTGGTGGAAGCAGGCACTTGGTGCACCCCCAGGCAGGCAGTGGAGCAGTGGGGAGCCCCCCCGGAGCTGGGAGCAGGGATGTCTGTCTGAGGGACCAGCACGAAGCACGCCGGGTACACCATCCTCACTCCAGCTGCAAGAGAGGGCAGTGCCCGCTTGGTTACACTCAGAGTCCAAAATTCATCATCAAATTCATCATTGCAGCAGGCACTCCTCAGCTGACAGACCCTGCTCTACCTACTGAAGCATCTCCTTGGACAAAAAACATCTTGTCACCTCCACCATTACTTGATGTGCTCTATACAGAAGATTTGGGTGAATGAATAAAAAGGGCTTTGACATCCTCATGCTGCTACCTGCTTCTGTCATTTTGTTTTATAAAGGCTGCAAAAATCCTTTTAGCATCATGTAGCACTGCCAACACCCCCAGCAGCACGAGGGTCTCCAGCCTTCACTGCACTGTGAGCTCCTCACACAGGAGGGATTGCCTCTGCTGGCAAATCAAAGGTCACCAGGCCACAGCAGAACAATCCACTGCATCCAGGGGCTGGGATTTTGGGAAAAACAGCAGATAGAGGCAGTGCCTGGGTACAGCAGGTTCTCCAGGACTGTGGTTTTGAAGACATCCCTAAAAGGCAAGTCTGCTATGTTTGAATTTGCAGGGACTCTGAAACAGCACAACGTGCTTTTGATTCAGCTCAGATGTCAACAGTGATCATCCAGGGCTTTTTTACTCTCTTAGTTTTTTTTTTTAAATCTTCCCTCTCAGGGCACATAAGAACAAGACCTCCTACTAATGGGTCTGCAAAATCCACTTTGAGCAGCAACCCATCATAGGCAGTCCTGGGCATCAAACAGGAAACCCAAACCCAACCACCACTGCTGCAAAGGAATCAAATGGGGTCACTTCTGCACTCAGAATTCTGCAGCTTTATCCAGCCAGTTTATTTCAGTAATTAAAGGTAATCAGGCTCACCAACAAGGACTTCAACAGCAGCTAAAGAATCATCCTCCCAATCCATTTCTTCTTGTTTCTCCTCAGATCCCTCCTTCAGGTTGGATGTGACAGGGTAGAATTGCTTCCACTCCCCAATCAGCTTTTTTGTGGATGAATCAGAAAGCTTGAAGGACTGCCCTGTGAGTGTGCCATTCAACCCAAAGGGGCTCAGGATAACTAAAACACAAATAAAAATCCATTGGAGATGATATTCACCCCAAATTCCCTCCTCCCCTCTGCAACAGCAGCACTCTTATTTCAGCCACACCAAATAAACAACTTACCATTGGTAAGTCAAAATGCAGCCTAATCATGATTTACACTACCCAAGCTTTTGGCAATAGGTTCCCATTGTCAAATTTATAGGTACTGCAAGAATTGAGGAACCACAATAACAACTACAAATTAATCCATTCAAACAAACAACAGGCAAGTTTTCATCTAGGCTTGCAAGGAGTCTCAGATACAGGTGGGATAAAGAAACACTTCCAGATCCTGGCAGAGTTTAGGGGTTTGCTCATCCTTTCATTCAGCTGGTCACAACAACAGGGAATACAGAGGGAATCATCTGGTTCATGCTTAGTCTTGTCCATAGTAGGGAAGCACAGCTGCTGTTAAGTTGCATTCAGAAAATAAAAAGCAATTTTGGACACTGAGCACTACTGCAGGTGTGTGGCCATGCAGGAGGGGGATCACACAGCCCCACTGACCAGACTCAGGCCCCAGCACTCCTCTGTCTTCCAGAGCACAACCTGCATCTGCTGGGGGAACCACAGGGATTTACAGGCAAGGAAGAGCCAAGTGAAAAGGGTGGGAATGGCTTAAATACACTGAGCCAGAAATGGGTTTCTCACAGAGGGTTGGTGAAGGTATCTGGGGGTTTATAAGGTTGAAACAACAAAATATTTAAGTCACCAAAACGACAATACTTGGAAAGGGTGTCCTGAGGACAAATGATCCAATTACATGCCAAGAGATGAATATGCAAATGCTCCACCTGCAGCAGGCCACAGCAGCTGGCTGTGAGCACAGGGCACAGCTGGGCACAGCTGGGCACAGCTGGGCAGCTCTGCCCCACTGCCAGCCCAGCCCAAGCCCTCGGGGAGCAGCCAGAGATGAGTGCAGGTGTGTCAGCAGCACTCCCACCTTGGAAGGGGCTGTTGGACTGCTGGGCCAGGGTGAGGTGCTCCTCGCTGAGCAGGTACACGGGCTGGTGCTGGCTGATCTCCACGCTGGTGCACACGTTGCTGTCCCCATGCAGGAAGAAGGTGAAGGAGCAGGACAAGTGCTCACTGCGAAGGCAACAGCAGAAAATAAGTCTGAAGAACAGAATTTTTATAAGTTGGTGTCTTTTTCTGTAGTTTTCGGGCATTTCTTCACAATATATTCATTAATGGAAATAACCAAAACATCCTCCTATAAATAGCAAGAAAATGCTGAATATATGGTCCCCTTACAAACCCAAAGAAAAACCAGTCAGAAAAGAACAGGCACTAAGTTTTCAGTTTCTTCAGTCTGACACTTTATATTTTGCTGTCTTGAGGAAATTTAAACCATAATTTTTTACAAGACAAAAACCTGTAATTTAATATTTTTATACCTTATGCATTTATTTAAAATCTCTAGAAATATTTCTGAACATATTTTATTTTTAATGAGGTCATATCTAGGTTGTTCTGTCACAGCTTCACTAAGCAGAATTTAATATCAGCCAACAAGTCACTTGTTTAAGTGCAAGAAGAATGGCAACAGCTTTGAGAAGTGGTTTTGTTTTGTTATTTAAATTGAATCTTATCTTCGTGTTCTTGAAGCCAATCAAGTAAGTAAAAATGAAATCCCATACCTACACACAAAAGGGAAGATACAATCAATTTAAAAAAACCGAGGCTCAAGACATTCTTAATTAAAGTCATTAAGACAAGTGTCAATGTTTAATAGCAGATGCTTCATTGACAGCTTCTCTCATGGTCCAGAGTTTTAGGAGGAAAAAAATCCCAGCAGGCTCCAACAGCACAAAACTCCCCAACAATGAACATTTCTCCTTCCTACACCTCTGATTTAAATGCAGTGCACAGTTATTAGTGAGCAACTGCACAAAACCCTTCACTCTGCAAGATCACTCTGCAGAGAATTTCTCATTTCTGGGGCCCTGCTTTGTGTTGTTGTCACAAAAACACAGCTGACCCTTGCAAGGACAACCAGGAAAACGTTTCATGTTGCATCCACACCAACTCCACGGTTTATATGAAATATTTTTCACCAATTTTAATTAAAGGGCAGCAAGAAAGGAAGGCAAAGATCCCTGCTAGAAGTGGCACATCCTCATACCCACCTGGAAAACTCCTTTTTTTTAACCCCTTTTTAAAGAAGCTGTACAGGCACAACATTCCTCAGTTACAGAGGCTACAAGTTGCCCAAGTGTCTGCCAGACTGATGCACTCCAGCAGGAAAAGAGATGTTTAAAAGCAGGAGATGCTGCTCATTTGGACATTAAATTGGGTCCAACATCATGGCCAGAGAGGGACCAAGGTCAAGGAGAACCTGAGAAGAACTTCATAAAGTGCTGGTGAGAAAATAAATCTTCCTTTGTAAGGAGGGAGCAGCAAAATCCTGCTCAGTCTCAGAGAAAGGGATCAAGCCACAGCAAACACTGATTTTAGTCAGTCAGAACAGCAGATACTGGAGAGGATTTTTGCATAATCCAATGCAAAAGACACTCCATGAACTGCTGCAGCCTGCAAATGAATGCAGCAGCAGCGTGTCCCAAAAGCACACCGTGATCCCACCTCCAGGGCCCAGGAGGCTCTGGGACACTGGTGTCCCTTTGGCTAAAGGCCAGTCTGGCATTCCTGGCAAAGCACAGACAGCTCCAGGGCAGGGAGAACCCACAGGCACCAGAGCGACCATCAAAACACAGCTCCACAGGTACTGGGAACATTTCCAGTGCCATTTCCAAGATGTTTCTTCCCCAGGGGGAAATGGTGGGATGGGGAACAGCAAGGGGAAAGAAAAGTTTCTGGAATTGGCACAGTCCATTCAATCCATGGAATGGATATGGGTGGGTTATCCACCCTCACGCCTCAGAGTCAGGGAGCAGAAAGGTGGAACAGTGACAAAAACAAAGCACATTTAAAACTGAGGACCAAAACCACCCAAAAAGGATGAGAGAGCCCTCAGAGTGCTCGTGCAGGAGCAGGAAGAACAGCACATTTTTATTCCAGCACCTCAAAGCAGGAGTTGCAGTGACCCCACTGAGGAGCTGCTCTGAGGGAGAGCATTCTCCAGCTCTGCTCATCTGCTCTTCAGGTTTAATTGTGTTTAGGGGCAAAAAAGGCGAGATCTGGATGAACTGTAAACTGCTTGCTAACAGCTGAAACCCACACGGCTCAGGAATGCCAGGAAAGTCACATTTAAAAATGCAGTGAGGATGGAGCTGAGCATCTTCCAGTGTAAGACAAGTCCCGTGGCCAGGACACACCACTGAATTCCAGTATGGAAATCTGATTAAACTGTAATCCTTATGCAAATGGTGGAAGACTAATTTTCCAACTGAATTTTATTTTCCAAACCATGCTGGATGTTTTAGGGTGAAGGAGGTTGGCAGTGCCTTGGCTCCCTGTGACAGACATGATTCAGAAGCTCAGTATCAGCAAGATAAAAACTTAAAAATAAAAGCACATATTCCCTATATACACTTTAAATGCAATTAAGCTTCACCTCTTGTAAACACCCCATTGTTAGCCAGATAAAGGGCAAACAATCAAGGCATAATCTGATGGAATTCAGATAAACCAAGACAAAGGGAGGCATCAGCATGATAACAGAAGCATTTCAATTCATCACACTGCAAAACCAGTCCTGAGGAGGAGCAAGGAAAACTCAAGGTCACCATGCAAAAGCCAAACCCAAAAATACAAACAAGAAAAAAAGAGCCCAAATCAGATCTCTTTTCTCCCCCAACTCAGCAGGGGAGAGATTTCCAACAAAATAATGCAGGGAGGGAGCACCCAGAGCTGCCACTGCCATTGTTCCAGCTCTGCCTCCATGGCATGGAGAGAGGATCCACTGCCACAATCCACTCTGGAAAACCCAAATATCGCCCAATTTCCACTAATCCTGCCTAGAAATAGAAGTGTGAAACAGCAGCAGAATGCACAGCACCGGGGGGGTTCTTTGGAGGGGCAGCAGAGTCCTGGCCAGGAGGAGGATATGTTTCACAGGAGAAATACACAGTAAAAAAAGGAGTCTGGAAACTCGGGATAAGGAACCAGATCCCAGCCGGGACACAAAGTATCCCTGGAAGCACCAGTGTGCTTTAAACAAAGCCTAACCTGCGAGGCAAAATTAACTCTTCATGGACTCGAAGGCAGTTTGTTTCTTCTGAACCACTCTGCTCAGAAACTGCTTCCCCACATTTAAATTATTTCAGGTTACAGAGCTTAAGAAACAGCAATGCATGTGGAAATAATCACAAGAAATACAAATAAAGAATCCTAATTAAAACAGAAAAAAAAATCAAAACCACAGGGAAGCTCTTTGGAGGGAGTGGAGAAAAGGAGGAAGGAACATGAAGAACCAGAGCTCTGCAGTGCTGGATGCCCCCACACGAATTATTGTATGGGCTTAGCAAGAAACCCTCCAAACATGCAGGCTCTTTATTATTGTTTTGTTTCAATTAATACATTTGAACATCCTCCAGTTCTTTCAGTTTCTAGAGCCTGGCTGCCAGTGCAGAACCACATCTTGAGAGGAACATTCCAAACTTTACCATAATCTAATCTAAAAAAAAAAAAAAGGTGTGTGTGTGTGTATATATATTTTTTTCCCCACCATTTCTCTAAGTCCTCCTCTAATCTTCTCAATAACTATAAAAAAAAAAAAAAAAAAGGTGTGTGTGTGCATATATATATTTTTTTTTCCCCCACCATTTTTCTAAGTCCTCCTCTAATCTTCTCAATAACTCACCTCACAGCCAAAAATCCTAATCAAGCAAAAAACCTGCCACGTATCACTTTGGGGTAAATAGGCAAATTATCTTCACAATTCAGTCAAGGACACAGTAACAGATCAGGCTGGTGGTTTCCTGCCTGCTAACGGAGAGTTCATCCTATTTTTATTTGCAGACTATTTTAGGTAGCTCAGAAGATCACTGGTAATTTGTGCAGAGCATCTCACCACTGAAATATGAAAAAAAATCCCTACACCTCAACACTTTGAAATTTTATTCTGCATGAAGAGAGAATAAGAGATGTCCTTAAGGTCAGATATAGAACAAAAATATCTGATGCTAAGTCAGCATTGATAACTCCTCTTTTCAGTACTTTTACCACTACCATCATTTGTTGTTGAATATACTTTTATCCAGAAAGTTCTGAAAACAAAATCCTAAAAAAACCTTTTTGTCTTATTCTGAACATCAAGTTGCTCCATTAATATTTCTAATTAATTTCATTAAAGTCCCAATCACAGAATTTAGGTATCAATAATCCAGTTCCCAACTGATTTCTGAGTAGAGATATGAAGTGCCATCAGAACAAGGATCCTTTATGACTTTTGATCTGAACATACCAGAATTCAATTAGATTGAGGTCCAATCCTGAAAGCAACTTTAAAAACAAATAAAAATAAAATAAGAAAGAGACTCCTTGGGAATAATGCTATTTGAAGCAACCTTCAGTCCTCATCTAAACTCCATTAAAATACATTTGTGTAAAACCCTTTGATTCCCCCATGCTCCCTCTTCACTCTAATCACACAAAACAAAGATGTTTTTGTTTCAGAGACAAAGGATTATGATTTTATGGGGGGGAAAAAACCAGAAGCTGCTGTGGATAAATCCAATACAATTTCTACTTCTACCTTTTTAAGAATAACTGAAGGGTAGGAGGGGAAACCACACTAAAATCCACATCTACAGGAGGTTTCCATTAGCAAATCTGAAAATATCTTCTTGATAAAAAGGTAATTAGGTCTGGTTTTATCTCCACATTAGGACTTCTGTAGAGCTCGAGATCTTCAAAGCCCTTCCCAAACATTGGCTGCATTAGGACCCCACTAATCCACACTCAGATCACCTCCCCATGACAGCACCAGCACAAGGAAGGCTCCAACTAAAAGCACATTTTAATAGTAAATAAAAAAAGACAAAACATCCAAACGTTTCAGCTGAAGGAGAAAATGTTTGTTTTATGTAATTACTATCTCCTGTTTTCCTAGCTTGTCTTTGTGAATTACTTCTGAGTTGAAGTGGGAGCACCTTATGCTGCCAAGGCTCTGCTAACCCAACCAAAATATTTACAGAATCCTCACCAAGAGCTGC